TAAATAATCAAAAGGTGAATCATGGTGATAAGAATGATGATAATGAATAACAATGAGAAATGATAATGACTAATAACTGTAAATAATAATAATAATATATAATAATAATATATAGGAATAGATCATAATAACGGATCGTACAAAATGAAATATAGTAATACATTATATTACATAATAATAATAGATAATAGTAGATAATAATAATAAATTAACAAAAAAACAAACAAGCTTGAACACGTTCTCGTCACACTCACATGTACTGGAGATTCGTCATGTCTCCAAATACGTCGCCCTCAGGAAGCTCACTCAAGCCATTCCCCTTCAGACACCTTCAGGGTATCGACGTCGGGAGAAAAAAAAGGAGAAATTATTAGTTGACAGGAAGTGGTACAAGCGAGACACTGGCAAGGCGGAGGGGGGGGGGTGTAAACAATGCCATCAGAGAAGAGAGGTTTTCCAAGGCCATTTTACTGTGTTTCTTATTGACATTGATTTGGAATTCTGTCTCTCATAAAGCTGGGGTTTCGATTAATGTACAGAGGAGGTTTGTACATAATTTTTTGGGGTAATGGTCTATTTGGTATGTGGACTTATGGATGGATGGATGAGTGGATGATAGATAGATGGAGGTATGTATGTATGAAGGTAGATAGCTAGAGAGATAAATAAATAGAGAGATACATAGACAAATAAATATAGATATATATATATATATGGACAGACAGATTTATTGATTGACTGATAGCGTGATAGATCGATAAATAGATGAACATATATATATATATATATATATATATATATATATATATATATATATATATATATATATATAATATATATATATATATATATATATATATATATATATATATATATATATATATATATATATATATATATATATATATATATATACATATATATATATATATATATATATATATATATATATATATATATACATTTATATACATACATACATACAGATAGATAGATAGACAAACAGAGATAGACAGGTAGACAGATATATAGCCGGATAAATAGACAGATAGCAAGACAGATTTATAGATATCTGAAGACATGTATGAATGTGTGCGTGTCTCTGTGTATATGTATGTATGTATATGTACGTGTACGTGTATATGCCTGTACTTGTGTTTGTCTGTGTGTATGTGTATGTGCCTGTGTGTGTATTTGTATGCACCTGTATGTGTCCGTCTATGTGTATGTGTATGTATGTGTATGTGTACGTGTATATGGCTGTGTATGCGTATGCATAAGTGTACGTGTACGTGTCTGTGTATGTGCCTGTGTGTGTGCATGTGTGCGGAAAAAGCACCTTACTCACAGTGACTCAACCGAGACGAGATTGCTGAAGGTCCCAGGCTCGAAGCTCTCCATGGCGTTGTCCTGGAGAATCCTGAAAGAGACCGTCCTTTCAGGCGCTCAAAAAGGGATTCCCCGCAAATGCATGAGAGTGAGTAGAGGATCTTTGATTTCTTTCTCTCTCTCTCTTTCTCTCTCTCTCTCTCTCTTTCTCTCTCTCTCTCTCTCTCTCTCTCTCTCTCCCTCTCTTTCTCTTTCTCTTTCTGTTTCCTCTCTCTCTCTCTCTCTCTCTCTCTCTCTCTCTCTCTCTCTCTCTCTCTCTCTCTCTCTCTCTCTCTCTCTCTTTTGGGGGGTCAAGACTCTCTCATCATTTTCGACTCAAGAAAGACATCAGTAAAACAAATTTATTTATATTTTCCATCATATTCATTTATATTATTTTTTTAATCATGAATTCTGCATTTCTACCCCATCACTTTCTTTATTTTATTATGATAACTACATCTCTATATCATCTTTTCTCTCATTATTACTATCCTATCATTTTCTTTTTCATTATTTTTTATTATTATCGTCATTTCCATTCTGCAATTTTTTTTTTTTTTATTCTATTATTACAACTACATTTCCATCACAATACTATTTCCGAAATCATCATTATATTTCCTACTTCTTCCTCTTCTTTTTTTTTTTCACCCGAAAGACATTACCGAAAGAAAAAGGGGGGGAAGGGGGGGGGGGGAGTGTCACGTGGCCTTATACTCACAACGTCTTCACTGACTCCAGGCCCTCGAACGTCCCGTTGTCGAGGCTGCGCAGGTGGTTCCTCTCCAGGGACCTTTCCGGGAGAACAAAAGGAAAGGGTGTTATTATTATTATTTTTTTTTTTTTCTTGTTTAGATTTTGATTTTGTTTATTGGTTTGTTTGTTTGTTTGTTTTATTTGTTTGTTTATTTATTTATTTTCCTTATTTTCTTCAACGACGGGATTTGTGCTATTTTACTTTCTTTATGGCTTTCTTTACTTTATTTATTTGTTTATTTGCTTATCATCATTAATATTATCATTATTATTATTATTATTATCATTATTATTATTATTATTATTATACTCATTATTGTTATTATAATCATTATTATTATTGTCATTATTGTTATCATTATTACCATTATTATTATTATTATTATTATTATTGTTATTATCATTATTATTAATATCATTGTTATTATTATTACTATTTTTGTTATTATTATTATCATCATTATCATTATTATTATTGATATTATCATTATTGTTACTGTTATGTTACTGTTGGTGTTATTGTTATTATTATTGTTATTATTATTATCATTATAATCCTTATTATTATTATCATTATTATTATTGTTATCATTATCATGATTATCATTATCATCTATTATGATCATTATTATTATTATTTATTTTTTAACAGTTTAAGTATGTTTTTTATGTGTACTTTTTGCGTCACCCAAAACGTAATTAATTAAAATCTGAGTATACTACTTCTATAAAGCAATTCTGATATTGAATCTCCAATCTATTTCTTTACTTTTTTATTTAGAAAAAAGTATATAGAAACATAGAACATACTATCAAATTAACTCTCATAACATAATCTTTTATCACGAGCAGTCTGCTTGCGTGTACGTGTGTGACAACTTACAGCAAATGGAGGTAGAAAAGGCCATTAAACGTTCCAGGGGCGATGGTGCGCAGGCGATTGGCTCCCAGGTAAAGGAACTGCAATCTGGGCATCGCGGAGAACACGCCCCCGGGGAGGTACTCCATTTTATTGCGTTCTATGTACCTGCGAAAGGGATAGGAGGTGAGCTCTGGCTTGGGCTGGCGAGAGGAGTGAGTGGGCTCTCGCGGGCTCTCCGTCTGCCTCTGTCGCTCCTCTGATTCGCTCTTTCTCTCTGTCTCATTCTCCGTCTTTCAGTCTCCTTCTTGATAATCGTCTTCTCTCTTTTATATACATACACGGACGCACACACGCATATATATAATCTATCTATCTATTTGTAAAAATATATGTACATTAATAATATATATATATATATATATATATATATATATATATATATATATATATATATATATACATATATATATCCATATGTACATATAACAAAGTATCACCAAAAGCCTCATCCAGAGCAGGGGTTCTTAGCCTGGGGCCCACGGAACCTTCGGGGATTAAAGGATGTGTTTCAGGGAGTCTGTGAAGATTACAACGTTGTTGTTTTTTTGTCTTTTTTTTTGCATAAAAAATTACGCAAATCTCAATAAATAAACTACATTATAACACATAACGCCTGCAAAATCGTGTTCATTTGAACCTTTCCGGGGACGCTAAAACGGCTAATCCCCTGCTCTGAAGGACACAGTCAAAAAAACACTTACAAGTTTAATAAGCTGACTAGACCGTAGAACATGGCCGGGCGAATCTCTGTCAGGTTATTGTCGTTGAGTTCGCTATCGTAATGGAAAAAGGAGAGATAAATACCTGATGAGTCAGTGGGTGAGTGTGAGGGGGAGAGAGTAAGACAGACAGATAAATAAGGTAAGTGGGTGAGATAGGGACAGGCATAAAACACGATTGAGTGATGAACAGAAAGAGTGAGTATATTGGTGAGTGAGAAAGTAAATAAATCCAATAGAAGTTAACTGATTTTATTCTACAAAATCTTTTCATTATATATGCAATATGTACACGGGTAAAAGACAGACGTGTGGCTGGTGGTGATCGACAGAGAGAGAGAGAGAGAGAGAGAGAGAGAGAGAGAGAGAGAGAGAGAGAGAGAGAGAGAGAGAGAGAGAGAGAGAGAGAGAGATTATGTCAACATAGGTTATAACGATATTATGTCCGACTAATGTCAGTACTACTTTTCCTTTTTTTATATTACATAACCATTATTTCTACTATCTTTTTATGTATAGTTATTTTTGCTAGTGAGAGACAGACACAAGTAGTTCCACGTGCTGTGATAAGCCTGTAAGAAAAAAAAGGAAAAAGATAAAAAAAAAAAGAAAAAAAAGAAAAAAAAAAAAAAAAAAAAAAAAAAAAAAAAACAATCACATATTTCTATTTACATTAATATTCACTGTGTATTTCCAACGTCCATACAGCAAATGAAGCTACTGAATAAAGAGAAAATTATTCACGTTATACTGCACTAAGTTACCTACACAAATTAAAAGAGTAATTGGAATTAAAGACCTAATCTTCAATTGCCTCGTTATCTGTGGTATTCCGGCCTAATCACCTTTAATAATGACCTCTCCTCGTGGATTAGAGGCAGCAAATTAACCAGAATATCTTACGTAATGCGCCATGCAGGATTTCCAGATAAGCTGTACTTTGTGAACTGCTAAGGAGCTTATGTAGTTTTTCTCAGTGGTTGGGAAAGCGGCACGTGAAGCTTTTATCTTAATCCCGGTTAAGGGAATTATATATTGTAAGGTAGGTCTTGGGAAATGTGTGTGTATGTACACACACAAAAAAAAAAAAAAAAAAAAAAAAAAAAAAAAAAAAAAAAAAAAAAATCACATATTTCTATTTCCATTAATATTCACTGTGTATTTCCAACGTCCATACAGCAAATGAAGCTACTGAATAAAGAGAAAATTATTCACGTTATACTGCACTAAGT